CCATTTTAGGTATGGCAGTTGTCCCTCCCAGTGAAGACTGAGACCGTGGACTTCAAGTCTGCCAATGGGGAGGGACAACTGCATTTTCTTTATTTAGTATACATATTTTCATTTGTACATTCATGTATATTCATATTTTAACATTTTGTAAGGAAATAACATTGTTCAAATTAGAACAGTTTTAAAGTAAATTCAGTATTTAATTCAACACGTGTAAATTATTTAGAAGTTTGGGAAGAGGAGGAGGAGGGGGAAGGGATCATGGCCTCCATGTTTTGTGCCTCCCTTGAGCAATTATCACATCTTTCTGGGGAACCTGTGCCACAGTTTGAGAACTACTGAAGCAATCCCTTTCTACAGCAGTATAATCCCAAGTGTGTGGAGGCCAAAGAATCACTGTCTTTTTACAGCAAAAGAACATTAGTCAGTGGCTGTCTTCTACCATACTCGCCACCTGGTGCCAATGTGACAGTGACAATCCCAATTAATCATCTGTCATCCCACTTTTTCAGATGCTTTTAAAATGTCCTAGTTTCTCTCCCCTTCTCCAACTTTCCCTCTTTGTCCCTAGCTTACTTCAGTTGCTGCAAACTGAATTCAAAATGCAAAAGCTGTTTATACTCATTTAACTCAACAGTGAGGGGAGGGGAAGAGGAGAGGGAAAAGGAGATGGTGGAATCTTGTTTTTTTGCTCATGCAAAGGTAAACTGCTATAGACTCTACTGGCTTGTGTGTTCTTCCTTATTCATAACTTTTGCCATATTGACCACACTCATATTCCTTGGCCACGTGTGTCATTGGTTTTCATCTGTGAAATGTGGATGGTATGCTATACTTCAGCATAGTAGTCTGAGTGTTCGACTGTTACTCTGGAGACCAGGGTTCAATTTCCAGGTTGTCCATGAATCTCACTGGGTGACCTTGGACACGTCATGCTCTTTCAGCCTCAGGCCAACTTCCTGTGAACAAATCTTCCCAAGAAAACCCCATGATAGGATCGCCTTCTAGTCACCATAAGTCAGAAATGACTTCATGGCACACAACAACAACAACTACAACAATGCTACACTCCAGAACTCCATTCCATAGGCGACCCAACTAGCTAGCTACTCTCAGACGAGTTCATGTTGAAAGGGCTTTCCGCCTTTCTGGCAGTATTGTTTTTTTGGTTTTTGCTAATTCTTCTTTGTATGTTAATTTTAGCTAGCTGCAGTTTTATTTATTTGTTTTCATTCCTGTGTGTATATATATATCCTAAATGTTTTAGGTCTGATGTTGATCTGAATGTCCTTTCAGGGATCCATTACCATGGAGTGCCATGGACCACCAAAGAATTCAAGATCCCTTCCAGCTCCATGGTTTTTGAGTCTTAACATTTTTGACAGTGGAGCTAATAGTGTGGAAGCAGATGCCTTGAGGCTGTGCTTTTTAAGACCTAAAGAAAGACAGTCAATAGCTGCTAACATTCTGGTAATGTGTTCCACTGACAGCTAGGATGGTCCAAGAAACCTTAGGGGGCTAGTAGAAATTAGTCATCTTTCTCCTCACCCTCATCCTAGCTAAATGAGGAAACTGGGTGAGCAAGATGTTCTTTCTTTCTGTAGCAAGAAGTTAATCTGTCTTAGAACTGAGTTTAAATGAGAGGGAAGGCTGCACTGTTCCCTGATTGAACTTGACTTACATGGTGTTTATTGTTTATTGACAGGGGTAGTGTGGCCCTGTTGGTGCTCCTAGACCTCTCAGCGGCTTTTGATACAATAGATCATGCCATCCTCTTGAGTCACCTGAGGAGGCTGGAGATTGGAGGCACTGCGCTCCAGTGGTTCCAGTCCTTCTTCTCAGGCAGATCCCAGAGGGTGAGGCTCGGGGACAGTTGCTCTAGTAAAAGGGAGCTTACCTGTGGGGTGCCACAGGGGGCTATTCTGTCTCCGAAGCTATTT